CTTAGACTTCTATATGAAAAACGAAAAGAATTGTGTGATGCACGAGATAAATTGTCGAATGGCTTAGGAAAGATCGAGGAAGCAAAAGTTCAAGTTACACAAATGTCCGTCGAACTCGAAAAGAAACGTGCCCTAGCTAATGAAGCACAAAAGAAATGTGAAGAATCATTAGGAGGTCTTGTTAATGAACAACGTGAAGTCGAACAAAGCAAAGCAGCTGTTGAGAAACTTAAAGAACGTGTCAAAGTCGATGAAGAGAAAGCAGAGTTGATCGCCAATGCTGCTCAAGAAGATTTAGCAGCAGCTATGCCTGCACTTGATGCAGCCAATGCAGCTCTAGCAGCGTTGAGTAAGAGTTCGATTACTGAAGTTAAAAGTTACGGTCGACCACCACTACTCGTCGAAAAAGCACTTGAAGCTGTCATGATTCTGAGAAATTCCGAACCGAGCTGGGCAGAAGCGAAACGTCAATTAGGTATGTTGATTTCAACAAAACAATGAAGTCTATGAATGCTTTCGTGTCAGGTGATACTAACTTCATCAATCATTTGATCAATTTTGACAAAGACAATATTTCGGATAAGATCATTATGAAAATATCGAAATATACGCAAGATCCTACATTAGCTCCAGCTGAAATCGGTAAATCATTCTAAACCATTTCTTGCTTTGAGTTTTTCTTGTGTTAATCGATAGCACGTGTATCGACCGCTGCTGCTGGTCTCTTCGACTGGGTACGAGCCATGGAACAATATTCGAAAATCTTCAAAACTGTCAAACCGAAACGAGATCGATATGAATCAGCTATGGCTGAACTAAATGAAAAACGAGCACAAATTGCCGACGCTGAACGACAGATCCAAGAAGCTCAGAAACGTCTCGATGAACTACGTGCTAACTATGAAAAACAAATGGCTGAAAAAGAACAGCTTCGTCGTGACTGTGAACATATGCAGATGATGTTAGACAAAGCATCTCGTTTAATCAACGGTCTTGCTAGCGAAAAAGTTCGTTGGGAAGCAACTGTAGCCGATCTTCAGCAACAGATCGGCTATGTCACTGGTGATTGTCTATTAGCTGCTGCTTTTCTATCTTATATGGGTCCGTTTCTGTCACAGTACCGTGATCGTATGATGAACGAAATTTGGGTTAAAGAAATTCGAAAACTAACTATACCATGCAATCCAGATTTCAACTTCGCCAACTTTTTGTCGATACCAACACAAGTACGAGATTGGAATATTCAAGGTTTACCATCAGATACGTTTTCGACTGAAAATGGTGTTATTGTTACACGTGGTACACGTTGGCCATTGTAAGTTTTTTCTCTGAACTTTGTTTTTGAAAGAAGAAATTAATTTGTGTTGCTTTCTTTCCAGAATGATTGATCCTCAAGCACAAGCTATCAAATGGATTAAAAATATGGAATTATCGAATAATTTGTGTGTGTTTGATCTGCAAACCCATGATTACATGCGCATTGTTGAAAACTGCATACGCAGCGGTCGTCCATGTCTTTGTCAAAATGTCAAGGAAGAACTGGATCCATCACTTGATCCTGTTTTGACTCGCGCAGTTAAACGTGTTGGTGGTGTCGATATAATGAAATTGGGTGAACGAGAAGTTGAATATCACAAAGATTTTCGATTCTATATGACGACAAAATTACCTAATCCACTCTATGCTCCGGAAATTTCTTCGAAAGCAAATATTATTAACTTTGCCGTCAAAGAACAAGGTTTAGAATCGCAATTACTTGGTATTGTCGTCCGAGAGGAAAAGCCCGAACTAGAAGCTGACAAAGATCGATTGGTTCGTGGTATTGCCAAGGGTAAAAAGAGTCTCCTGGAACTGGAAGATCAACTGTTACGATTATTGAACGAAACGAAAGGTTCACTACTGGAAAATGACGAACTCTTATCAACATTAGAAATATCGAAGCAAACTGCAAAGACGGTACAAGAACAATTGATTACATCTGAAGCAACAGAGAAGGATATCGATGCTGCTCGTGAAGTAAGCTTTCTTTCTAAGAAAAAGAGACCGATTTGTTTATCATTATGTAATATTTATTTAGAGTTATCGACCGTGCGCTGAACGTGCATCAATTCTCTTCTTCGTTCTCAATGATTTGGGTAAAATCGATCCTATGTATCAGTTTTCCCTGGATGCGTACATCGATCTATTCAATATTTCCATAAAAAAGAGTCAGAAATCAAATAAACTTGAAGATCGTTTGAACAAACTGAACGATTTTCACACCTACGCTGTTTATAAGTAAGTCAATCGTACAAAAACTCGATTGTAACATTTCTCATTTCATTTAGATACACTTGTCGTGGTCTATTCGAAACACATAAACTGCTCTTTTCATTTCAAATGTGTGTTAAAATCCTTGAAGCTGCCGGTAAGATAAATATGGACGAATATCAATTCTTCTTACGAGGTGGTATTGTAAGTAATCCAAATTATAATATTTGACAAAGTAAAGTGATGATGATGATGATTCAATTGTAGGTTCTCGATCGTGAATCTCAAATGGATAATCCCAATCCTCAATGGTTAGCCGATTCATCTTGGGATAATATCACTGAATTGGCTAAATTAGCAAATTTTCATGGCATTATCGAATCATTCGAGCAATATCCACGAGATTGGCATCAATGGTTTCAAGCGAGCGAACCAGAAAATACAGCTATGCCAGGCGAATGGGATTCAGTGAATGAATTACAAAAGATGTTAATTGTTCGAAGTTTACGTTCAGATCGTGTACCATTCGTCGTACAAAAATTTATTGTGAACAATCTAGGCTCGAAGTTCGTTGAACCACCTATTCTTGATTTGAGTGCCGTTTTCGATGACTCCACACCGAAGTCGCCGATTATCTTTGTTTTATCACCTGGTGTCGATCCATCTGGTAGTCTGACTACTCTCGCTGAAAAAATGGACTTCAAGAAGAACTTCTTACCACTATCACTTGGTCAAGGACAAGCACCTATCGCTACACAACACATTGCCGAAGGTGTTCGTGCGGTAAGAGATCATCTGAAAAATCTTCCAGCAGCTAACTGATTGAATATATTCTTTCTAGGGTCGATGGGTATTTCTTGCCAATTGTCATTTATCTTTATCGTGGATGCCTGATCTGGAAAAGATCGTGGAAAATCTTTCAGTTGAAAAAGTTCATCCACAATTTCGATTATGGTTATCATCGTCGCCATCTCCACAATTTCCAATCTCGATTCTTCAATCTGGCATTAAAATAACAACTGAACCGCCGAAAGGTATCAAATCCAACATGAAACGTCTCTATGGCCTCATCGATGAACAGGATTTCGCGGAGAAAAATCGTCAACCTCATCCGGAGAAATACAAACGTCTTCTCTTCTGTCTCTGCTTTTTTCATTCACTATTATTAGAACGAAAGAAATTCCTTCAACTTGGCTTCAACATCAACTATTCATTCAATGATTCCGACTTCGAAACATCAAATTTAATTATGGGTCATCTCTTACGTGATAATGATATTACACCGTGGAAAGCAATGAAATTCATTATCGCTAAAATCAACTATGGTGGCCATGTCACAGATACACGTGATATGCGTGTTTTGAATACGTATATCGAAGATCTATTCAAAGATGAAATTATCGACCCACAAATGCAATACTACAAACTAACAAAACTACCCAATTACTATGTACCACGTGATGGAACATTGAATGAGTATAAGAATGCCGTGGCAACTGTTTTGCCTAACATTGATCATCCGGAAGCATTTGGTCAACATACAAATGCTGAAGTTGCTTCGCAAATCCGTGAAGCACGAATGTTATTTGAAACGTTATTATCCCTTCAGCCGCAAGTCGTTGCAACTCAAGGTAAAAAATCGACTGAAGATGAAGTTATGGAAATGGCCACACGTGTATTAGAACAATTACCTGAGAAGATCGATTTTCAAAGCACAGTGAAAATCCTGTCCGAAGATCATTCACCACTGAAGGTTGTTTTATTACAAGAAATCGAACGTTACAATCTTCTCCTGGATATCATTCGACAATCGTTGGTATCTTTACAAAAAGGTATCAAAGGTCTCGTGGTCATGTCATCCGATCTCGAAGAAATCTTTCGATGCATTCTCGATGCACGTGTACCAACACAATGGCAGAAGATGTATCCATCATTAAAACCTCTAGCTTCATGGACACGTGATCTTGCTCAACGTATTGATCAACTAGCTAAATGGGCGGAGAGTGCACATGCACCGGCTGTTTTCTGGATGTCAGGTTTCAGTTTTCCAACAGGTTTTCTCACTGCAGTCATGCAAACAACAGCTCGTGCAACAAAGATTAGTATTGATCGTTTGATATGGGATTTCGAAGTGATGAAAGTGGAAGACAACTACTTACAAACACCAAAGGACGGTGTCTATGTGAAAGGATTATTTCTCGAAGGTGCTGGATGGGATAAGAAAAACGCATGTTTAATTGAAGCTGAGCCAATGCGGTTGGAAGTATCAATGCCTACAATTCTCTTTCGACCAACAGAAAACAAAAAGAAATCTTTAGCAACCGAAGAAGATCGAGAACGAAAGACAGGTAATTTTCATTGTGCAAGAACAATGAGAAGAAAGCCTATTGATTTTTATTTCATTTCATCTTAGATGTTTATTCATGTCCAGTTTATTACTTTCCAAACCGAGCGGGCGGTTTTGGTCATCCATCATTTGTTGTTGAAGTCAACCTTAAAACACCTCACTTTCCAAATAGCCACTGGGTTAAACGTGGTACTGCCTTACTGATGAATTTAGATAGATAAACTAAATTACTGATAAGTACAGTAATCGATATGTAAAGTTTGTTTGTTTGTTTTAATTGTTTTTAAGTAATACACATATATATCTTTTACTTAATCATACAGAAACATAGTTGATGATATATATATATGAAGCCATTGAGATTTTAAAATCTTTCAAAGATAAGGTTGTATGGATCATTTTATTATGAAACAAACAAACGACTATCGATCCATTCAACTGTCATCCAAGTAACGAGCGGATATTCTTGCACATTTGCTATTTTCGCTAATCTATCGATATTACTAAGTCCATCCGTATCTTGTCGAATGACTGCATCAAATAAAAGACGAACGCGTTTGGGATTTCGTGTTTGTGATGAATGTGAAGCTGCATAATAAAAACCAGTTATCGGTCGTTGCACACACGTATCTTTAGCTAAGAATCGTAAACCCATATCATCATCTTCTCCACCCCAGTTAAAATATTGATTCGAATAACCGTTCAAAAACTGAAAACTCTTCGGGCGGATTGCTAGAACTCCACCGACGAGAAACGAATAGATTTTCGTGTATTTCCCTTCGAGTTGAGAACGTACATTAGCTGACATATGAATAGGATGATCAGCTGATGTTAAACATGTATATAAATTTTGATTGTTCTCTGGGATGAGATCAACATCTAGACACACATGAAAAGAAAGAATAATTGTACCAATTAGAAGTTTCCTATTTTTACCATGAAAAATCACGCATGTGGGTTTATATGTTTTCATTAAATAATGAAATGCAAAATTGTTTAATCGAGCTTTATTGAATGCACCTAGTGCTTGCTGTTCAACAATAAATATTTTATAATTTACAATGGATTGTCGATTTAAAAATGGTACTAAATTATATAACAAATTTCGTAGATTGTTTTCTCGATCACGGTATGGTATCACGATTGCGACAGTTTCATTCTCATACAATGAGCATTTCTTCGTTGTTTGCCATAATTGAGCATATTTGGATGTGGAGGGTGAACGTACTTGGAAATCATTCGGTGGATGGAGATCGATCGAGATAGTTCCATTCAATTGAATGTTGCAAGTTTTCGAGATTTGATTGATTAATTCAGTTCGATCGAGCACACCTTGTTGATCATGACAGACAACCTGATGATCAAATAATCGCCAAATATTCACAGGAACAAGAACTTTCTCTTTTTCTATCAGATAAGAAGGCGAATTAGAATGATTAAATTGTTCTAAATCTTGATAAAGTGATATTCGGTTTGTATTTAACATATGGAACGATATAAATGATAGAAGGATCAATATGACTAGAAAACGATATTTACTGCTTGTTAAAATACGTGAAATATAGTATAGTCGACCACGTAGCGAATCCATTGGATTGTATTTGACTAAAACAATGTATACTGAATCTAAAATATCTTTTTTAAATAGAAAATGTCATGACATATCTGCCCTGGAAAGAAAGAAAATTGTCAAATGCAGCGTGGAATGAAGCGACTCGATATTGTCATTCCAGAAAATGTTTTTCGTGCTGACATAGAATGTTTTCCATTGTGTCAATAGACACCCCAATAAAATTGAAACGATGAAAACTAATGCGCGTATTTCTTTTCTTTCTCTCCCTCTCTCTGTCCATACGAACTGTCTCGATGATTAATACCGAACGATAAACAACGCACAAGAAAAGATTAACAATTTAAGTTAGTTTGATTCGTGTGACTGACGAGTGAATGCGTATGCGTTACGGTGGAAGGATTTGTTTGCTTATAAGAGTATTACCTTCATCTCTTAGCAACATTTGAGTCATACATGATGTTGAAAAAGGTATAAAAACACTGAGTCGACACTTACGCAGTGATTAGCGTTCAAATAAAAGACGCATGTTGAGTTTATTTCACATTCTGCCAGATGGCTCGTTTTTTTGGATGTGTGAGAAAAAAATTTTGTCTTCATTCTTACTTCAGTCTAATTATAATAAGAGACTGATAGAAGGTACGTCTGATACCTAAGTATCTCCTACAAGGGCATGATTAGAAATTCCATTTTCTGTTAATATACGCTAATCCGTAATGACAATGATATCAATACTAAAGAAACAAAAGATATGTAACTATTGTAGTATGGTAAAAGGAGATACAAAAAGAATGGACGTGTATCTGTTCTATATCAAAACTTTTCTTCTTCTAAAAAAATAATAATGGCGTTTTTTTTTCTTTTTCCTAAAGCACACTTCAAGTGTGATTACTATGTGACAGAATGTAATGGAAATGTTTTATTTGCTCTCTATGTCCTTCGAATCAAAACAATGCGTATTGATAATATTTGATCGTTTTCCAAAAATTCAATAAAATTTCTTGTTACCTTCATATATATCGATGATGCTATCTTGCGAGTATACTAAATGTCGACCTTCCTGCCAACGCAGATACATTTTCAACAGTCTGCTTGAAGTTATTAAGTTTGCCATGAAAGATAAAAAGATTAAACGAAACCAGTAGTTATCATCCTGCTGTGATACAGTACATTGAAACTATATGATAATTATAAATAATTTTCCTACGTATTCTGGTTTGAGGTCTCGATCCTGTGCTCTACCGCCCTCTACGCCAAACACGATGTGGTTATTGCATAACACGAAGCAATCAAAATCAAGATAGAAAACGGTACGATGTTCATTATAAAAGATTTTCAATCATGAGCACGTCACCAAGTAATCGAAAGAAAAGTCCTAACAAAACAACTGTGGATACACCCACGCGTCGGAAGCGATGCATTGAACTGCCTGTTTCTGGTAACAGTATAAAATATTCTAGTCGAAGTATTTGCTGTCGATTTTTTCAGTGGATGTCGAAGAGAAATCGAATGAAAAACGAACGAAAACATCACCGGTTTCGAATATGAATTCGAAGGATCGAGCTGAGAAGTAACATCAATCATCCATTCAGTTTCTTTCATTTTATTGAATATGAATTAAAGAGCGTCGACTGAACAATATGAAGATGATTTCGAGGAAGATGCTGGCAGTGTTGAAAAAAGTATATTCCTCCTACTCGAATAAAAATATTGACTTTTGTTTCGATTAGAAAACGCATCCGAAGAAGATTTATCACCACGATTAAGCAAGTAAGAAAATAGGTGATAATCAAAGCCATATACCATTATTTGCTTTTTGTTTAGTTATGATGAAGATAGTAGAGAGGGAAAGTACTATAATGAAAGTAAAAGTTCTCAAGACGAACCGTCATCTCAACCTATAACTGATAGTAAACTGTTTTTTGAATGTCTCTAATAACAACACAATTAGTATCGCTTTCTTTCTTTGAAGGTTTAGACTTTGAAAATGTTGATGACGAAGACGATGGAACATATCAAGTAGATTCTTTTATCGAATCAATTATTCTTATCTAAATCTGCAAGAATAGGGCGTACCGTTGTCTGAAATATCAAACATATGTGAGAAACCGCCACGTCTAATGGATATGATGGATGTTCGCGATCCTAATCACACATTTCTCATACAAGTATATTATCTTGATGATATGAAAAAGACCACAATAACATTCATTTCAAATAGCCATTTAAATACGATCCAGCCAATGAAGATTGTGAGCCGAAATCGATTCTTGAAGATGGATCGTACGTTGATGAATGGGATCAAGATCATGTTCGTTTGCCTTGCTCCCCATCTTATGTCACGGTAAGATTGATTGACAAATATTCTATCTATCAGAATTTATCATGATTGGTGTTTTTCTAAAATAGAAAAATGGAACCCAACGATGGTCAATCATTCAAGATGCTTTGAGAAAACTGCAACGTATGGCAGAAACATATATGGCATCTGTAGAAGATATTAAAGTAGAAAACTGTTTTCTTTTGAGAAGAATTTTGCCATGATTGATTTGGTTTTGCAAAGGAAACAATTGAAGAGTGTGCCGGACGAACATATCAATTGAATTGTCTCGAACGGCTTCTTAACGAAGTATGTTTCCACTTCGATTTGTTCGAAATAGATATCATTTTTTCAGGAATATTCCTCCGATGAACGTGCTCATTTTCTATCAACTGTCCTATCGAATATCTGTAGTTTAGCAATGAATGTTCACAAAATCTGTTCTAAAGTAAGAATTCTTCTGTTCAGTTCAAAAGTAACATTCCGTCGTGTATGACTGTTCTTGTTAGCCACCACCACTTTTACGTATCGGATCAAACCGTACAGTGACTATGTCTCAACGTCAATGCGCATCGTTGATGGCTTGTGCATTTTTCTGTCTGTTTCCTCGACGTTTTAATCAAAAAGTTGGCAGTGAATATGAAAATTATCAAAATCCAAATTTTAACACGTATGTGTTGTTGTACCTGATCGAAGCAGTTCCACTCATATATTTATTTTTGATGTATTGAAGGCTTTTTCAAGGTGGTCGAACGGGTGGACCATCATGGAAACTTGAAAAACTCAAATGTGTCTTTAACTACTTTCGACGTATTACCGACAAAAGTGAGTGCGATCGCGTCATGCTTATTTTGACAAAATCTCGATGTTTTCAAGTGCCAAACGGTGTATTATCATTTCGACGTTATCGATTACCCGAAACTTGTCTACCGAAATGGGCAGATTCGAAAGAACCTCTATGCAAACTTCATGTGACGAAAAATAAAACTATTGAAGATATGGATGGTCTTTTACAAGTAAATATACATCGACTGAATATCATTTACTATCATTTTCTTACTGTTTAGGTGGATTTTGCTAATAAATACATTGTAAGTAACAGTGCCTGACGCGTTCGTTCATGAAAATATATTTCTCAGGGCGGTGGCGTAATGAATGAAGGCTGCGTCCAAGAAGAGATACGTTTTGTAATATGTCCTGAAATGTTGGTTAGTTTGCTACTATGTGAAGTCATTCAAGCCAATGAATGTGTTTTCCTCATTGGTTGTGAACGTTTTTCATCGTATCGAGGTTATTCCACATCATTCGAATTCAAAGAAGATTACACCGATAAAACACCCAAGTAAGCCAAATAATTTACTCTGTCTGATCTGTTCTTTCTTGTGAATATTCTTAGAGATGTTTGGGGACGAAAATTATGTCATGTTGTAGCCATGGATGCCATTGCATTTCGTGATCGAGCAACACAATACAAAGTTCCAAATATGAGAAGAGAGTTGATCAAAGCGTATACATGTTTTCGTATTCCAGCCGGCGTTACAGACGAAAAATCAGGTATTGCAACTGGTAATTGGGGCTGTGGGGCATTCAACGGAAATAAACAACTGAAAGGTAAATCCAACAAAACCTCCTTTTTCCTTTTGGCTTGTACCAATTCACATTTTTTAAAAGCTATTATTCAATTGATTGCTTCTTCACAAGCGGGTCGTCCACTCGTTTATTTAACATTTCGTGATCAAGGACTAGTAACATCATTTTACAAAGTGTACGAACATTTACAAAAAGAGAAAGCGACAGTAAAAGATCTTTGTACTTATCTTCAACTATATTCAACTTTGCACAAAAATATCACCTTATTCGAGTATATTCTCCAAACAACTGTGTCATCTCTTTACTAACTAGCATCGTTTTTGTACGCGCTCTGTATGTGTTAATATCTATGGATTTATTTTATTGAAAAGACGATTTATGCAAATTATTCTGTGTTTGTCAATATTTTCTGTTCTTTTTTTTTACAGATACTAGAACAAATAATAAGAATGTCTATTGATGTGGTATGTTGAATAGAAATTAGAAAAAAAAAAGAAGAATCGCTGTTATTTCTGATGATTAGTCAATTGTAATGCCAGTGAGAAATGCTGTTCAATGGCTAGATGAAACTTTTCAAAGTCTAATGCAACAAAGTGTTGAGAATATTCAAATTGAACTGTCGATTTATAATGATGGCAGTGCAGCAAGTGTTCTGATATTTGATAAATAAGGAGACACTGTTTTGTATTAACAGGATGATACACTGAGTATGATTGAACGATGGAGAAATCGACTAGAAACGAAATATAAATTGATCGTTCATGGACATGGGGACGAAGAAGCTCGTGGCGGTGAGACATCTAAGGATAACACTTTTAAGATTCGTGTTTATTTTTGATGCACATGGTGGAAATAATCAACGACATACTTTGAATTTAGTCGGTTATGCAAAAAATCGAGCTGTCCAACATTCATCGGGACGATTCCTCTGCTTTCAAGATGCTGTAAATCATAGTCATTCATTTTTATTCAGTATAAATATGTTTATTTTAGGATGACCTGATGTGTCCTAATCGAGTACAAGAACAGTACCGTATTGCTGTTAAGCAAACAGATGACGCGTTTTTGAGTATTTGCATGGGTTTCAAGCAAATAAATTCTGCATCAATTAATTTTCTTTCTAGTCGGATCAAAATACGAACGCATCCCAGAAGGATCGACGGATCGATATACTCAATGGGCAAATAACTTAACGGAAGAACAGCTCTATACACAAGTTAGTTGTATATGTTATAGAACAAACAAAGATTCTTCTTTCAAGATCTATTTAGCACATGGACCTACTTTGATTATGCCAACATGGTTTTGTGCACGATCATGGTTTGATCGCTTGGGTGGTTTTGATGAAATTGCTCGAGTGAGCTTTTGTTCGATTCATCTTCTCCTGCATTTATAAATCTTCTAGGGCCATTGTGAAGACCTTACCTTCTTTTTCAAACATCTTCGTCATGGTATGTATTATACTAAGCACAAAATAGAGAGAAATCTTGTTCTTTCATATATGTACTGGTGGACGACTGTATCGAGTGAATGAAATTCTTCTCTACTATCGATACCACCCAGAAGCAACGACATTTTCTGTTCATGAGTAAGACAGAATAAGAGAATCTGTTCTGATAGTATATATTTGAATACAAGGGACGTGATATGGTCAGTGCGTATAAAAGAAATTCAGACAAATGTGATTGATAATCTTCAACAATTGATAATATGGAATGCTGGGAAACAAGTAAAAGTGACTTGTTAACTTTCGAATAAGAACTTAATTTTTCAATAGGGTAGAAAATTTTATCGTTCATTGAATGATGATAATAAACACAAGGTCAGTGAACTTTTCTTAAGTAAGTAATTAGCAAACATTTTTCAAAGGTGATTGGCTTTTGTGATATGGATCCAAAGAAGATTACAAAAGGTTTCTATACCGATGAATTATCTGAAGGCAAAGATAAACGTCGAATTCCAATCATTCATTTTAGTCAAGCCATTCCACCGATAATTATCTGTGTGAAACTAGTTTGTATTCATATGGTTTTTACCTTCACAAATCAATACTAGATTCTTTAGGGTTTAACAAATAATGATTTTGAAGCGAATCTTGCTTCGTTAAATATTCGTGAAGGCGTTGATTATTGGCTTTTCAGTTAATTTTCTTTATAACTTGTTTTTTCTTTGTTTTAATAAAGTGATTCTGCAGGAGAAGAAAGAGGAGAATTAAACAATGACTATTTGTTGGTAAAACAATGCCCATGGATCGTTGGACACATATAACCTTTGTAAACAAACGACAGACAATCGAATAGATGTTAGTTCAACTAGATTTCATCCATTTTAGATTAGCATGAGCACAACACAACTGTTCAGTTTACCCAACGAACTTTTTCCATACATCTTCCAGTACCTATCCTCTTCACAACTAGTCGAATTACTCGCAGATATTCAATCTCGTCGATTGCAAGCTCTGATCCATTCATTTATAACCAATCTCGACATCTCTAAAAAATCTGACCAATGGCTCCAGTACTATCTCCCACGAATCTTCTCTAATTCAAATCTCAACGCACTTCGTCTACAAGACAGACACATTCCATCATTTTACAGTGATTTCTCATCATCAAACATACAATCCATACAGGTCATTAGTTCAGACTGGACAACTGATCTGCTAAAACAAGGATTGAACTACATTCGACAACATCATTATCTCAAACAACTGTCAATTGTTTTTACATGTCTTCATGGGAAAGGAGATGTGGCCAATGACTTATTTCGACGTGATTCACAATTTCAGCATCTCATCGTCACTGGTCGCTTCCTTTATTTTGACTTGAAAGAAATCGAGCAATGCAATCAGCTGAAATCTCTGTCGATTGAACTAGAAGGAATGCATCGAGTGTTTATGTTGATCCAAAACCTGCCTAATTTACAAGAACTTAAGGTAAACTTGATTCTTCTTTTGTTGTTGTTTTAACTCGACCTGTAGGTCAAGCTTCGGACAGAAGAACGTCTAGTGCAGCCCAAATTCACTTGCGAAGACAACTCGCGCCTCGCCAATAAACTTCAAAGTGTCAGTTTCACAGGTGCAAGCAAATATTTTGATCATATCGAACAGTTTTTCACTTGTGTCGGAATGGCTATTGAATATCTTTGCATTAGCATCGATCTGATCTATTATATCATTGATGGCAAACGTTTTCAACAGAATGTGTTGATGAAGATGCCCCGCCTATCATCACTTGATCTACTCATTCATTCGACACTCACTTATTGTGATCCAATTGACATCCAGACATTCCGAAGCTCATACTGGCAGCAGTTCAATAGCATCATCTACTGGTATGATATTCGTGCTCATCAGCATACAATTTTCACTTTGCCATACAAATCTGATCGAGTAAATCAAGCACTAAGACGTTGGAATGAAGGAAACACATGTTCTCTCTTTGTAGTTCAAACATTTTTCAAATAATTTTCTTTCCTCATGGACATCAAACGAGCCAGTTTCACTTTGTTTTGAACGAGTTCGTTCATTGTCATTCATCACCACAACCGCACTAAAATGCGAAACAATCGACTTCATGGCAAAACACTTTCCAAATCTCAAAACACTTGAATTAACCGATCCTGTTCATTTGCCAGGATCGGAAGATGAAAATGTCGACCGACAAGCATTAATTATGCAAGAAGATCTTCTTTTCGATCGTACTTTACAGTTGCCATCCATAACAAAACTGTGTTTTGTGTCACAATTACAACATGATGATTATGATGTTTTTCGTCGTTTTCTTCATCTTTTACCCAATCTAACTCATCTACGAATGTACATTGGTCGTTCATTATTCAGTCGATTATTATTACATGAAAATGTAGATGACTTTGTAGGAAATGCATTGGTGCGCATTGGATGTTTGGAAATGGTTCGATTTTATGATGAGAAGAATGTTCTAAGCAATGAAGAAATTCGTAATCTTTTTCCACATGCAGAAATTCATTTTGACTATGATGAAGTTCGATAAGTAATGCAGTATGTCTATTTCTACATATAATATTAGTTTATAATAAATTACTGATAAAATCTGTGAGCATAATTGCTTGTTATTAAAATATGACCAGCACCAGTCAGTGCCCTCCATCCGTTTATATGATAACTGTAGCAAGACTAATGTGATTGAGTTGAAATTTTTGATGATGTATTATTGCATCAAAATCTTGCTGCAGTTTGAAGATGACACTAATTGGACGAATGTCGTATGTATTATCGAAAAAAGGAATTAATATTTCTCTATAACTCGTTATGTCTTCTATCTGATACACTTTTTGCAGTACATCAAATTCTCGGATAAAACCTGAAGTTTTCGCATTTATTTTTATCTTTCTTTGATCGACGATTTTTACATTCATTCAAACAGTTTCTCTGATTATCCATCAACGGTCTTTTGATCTAATTAGTTTATGACTGAAAGATACTAGCTTTCAATTAAACATATGCGTTAGATTTGTTAAGCCCTTCGATGCAGGTATATGATCTATGTTTACTTGATTCAATCGATCATTTCCTACAGAATAATTTTTTTATAACATTCAATTTTCGTATTAATCAAGTTTACTATCGATTAATTATCGACGATAGAGTTTCGTTCGATGATTTTTCGTAGATCCGGTGAGTTTTCTAATGAAAGTAATAAAAAAAAAACAAACGCTGTAAAAGGAAAGCGTTTATGTGGTAACAGGGAAATTGTCACTGTGACGTTGGTGCGTATTCATTTTTGCATATGATTACTTTCCAAGTAGTATTGATCTATTTGTTTAATCCGCTTTAATGAATAAGAACAAGCTTCTCAAGCTCGATGTTGCTCACAGGTCAAACAGTCCGGTGAAGAACCGATGAGTTTCCTGACGGATTTGATTAAAAACCCAAGGAATACTGTTTCGGGATTCATCGTCCTGAGCTACTAATTGACTCAATTTCCCATTCTAAAACGGCAACTTCTTCTGTAAGTGCTTGCTGTAATTTAGCAATCGACACAATGTTAAAATCGTGAAATATCTGACTTTTCAACGCCGATAGTTAAACACTGAATCACACGAGGACGGACACTATTGTTAAAATGAGCCAATTGAATGATGAAAAACTATTTACTGTTACCAATTAAAATAATCTCGCTGCGATGATTTTCGTCATCGCCGTTGCCATCATCTTCATCACTGTTAAAGTGAGAGAAGACATCAGTTTTGGGATGTGCACGTGTTCGCCTATATATATCTCGGTTTATTTCGAAAATCAACACGTCGTATATATATAGAAAAGCGAAGTGCTGATCAGTGAGACGAAACGAACTTTCGTCTGCTATTCCTTTAGTTTGGTTGTGAATCAATTTATTTATCTGTATGAAAATATTTCTTTTTCATTCACCAATCAAGCACATCTCACGGAAATAATTGGATTCTTTCATACATTTTTTTGGTGGGTAGCTAATTAAAGTATAGAAAGTACATTTACTTTCTGTAAATTTTCTTTTGTTGCTTCTTTGATGTCAACGGGCATACAAAATATTGATGATGCATGCACTGAGTGCGTTGCTATCCGATGAACATTAGTCATTCATGTGTTGTTATGCAGATCAATAAAATGCTTGGCCATTGTGTTTATTAGTCTTTCCGTGAATATGAAATAGAAAGAACAAAAGGGGGTACGTCAATTGTTCACATTTACATCTATTCTAAACTTAAGATGGTTAGCGATAAAGTATGCAGGGAAAAGTACTGACAAACGTCTACAACTTTCTTTGAAAGCAACTGTCTCGACAATGTCTGAGTGGCTTGTGACTTTGTCAGATTTTCTTCACCTTTCTTGAAATCTGATTCCTTTGGGAATAGATATTCAATACTGGTATTTTTATGAAGCATATCAGCGTTCATACAAAACTAACTTTGCTAAAAATGTGTCATACTAAATTTGTTTTCAGTAATATTTGTAAAACTGAAGAAGGTTTTAGAGAGAAACGAATTTTAAAATTAAAATTAAAATCTGCATTAATTGGTTCTCTACAGAGGATAATATTTTCGGCGAAAATCTTATCGGCTTCTTGAAAAAAAGAAATTTTTTTTAATGTCGTTTTTCGTTCTGTTGCCTATGTCGAATGACACGTTCTTTTCTTGCAGTAAAAAGTCCTGTTTACTCAGTTTGAGAACTCGATAAAACACAGCAACATGTTATAAATTTACCAACAAAAACGGTAGAAAACACACGTGCTGTAAACATAACGCGCGGAAGAAACATTCTTTTTTGGAGATTGCGTTTTTTTCTCTCGGTGATTCTTATTAAAATGCTAGATTGAATTTTTTCGCACTAATGGGATGCTGTCCAATTGCATCGACTAGAGTTGGTTCAAAGTCAATAAGGAACTCTAATCCAGCTGAACATAGAAATCCAAAACAGCAAGAAAGAGGTCGGACGGATGACTTAACCGACGAGGAGAGTAAGCGTCGATTATAAACAAAACTTCGTCAGCAATATCCGTTCACTGATTTAGGGTTGGAATTGGACAATGAATGTTTCCCTGGAAATAAATTTGATGAGAAATTGGCAAAAGTAACACGTTTCAATGACTAGTTGTTTTTATTCATATTAAACTTCAGGATGCACCTTTGGATGAAATCATCAGCAAGTATTCGAAGCCACCTAAAATAAAAAGTATGAAAGAAATCCATAACAAAAACGATTCATTCATGATTCAAGTAAGATTGATTATAGTACGATAAAAATTATAATTATGACTGTAGCCATTCGAATACGATCAAAACGTTCCGGATACTAAACCAAAGCCCATCAATTACGGAAGTCCATACACTGATCGATGCGATGGCCTGCATCTTGTCATGCCCTGTTCACCAACGTATATGTCTGTTAGTAGAAGTATATTTACAGTTTAGGTTTTTTAATCGTATTATTTATTGTTCACTAAGGTGGATCACAAACCATTGTGGCCTCACATCTATGGTTTGATAGCACACCTGAAAGAAAAGTGTGATAAAGGCGATGCTAATTATGGTGATTTGAAGGTAGTGATCATAAATCTAATCTTTCAGATGACATGAGCAGTTAAATTTTCATTTTAGGCGACGATCGATGCGTGCAGTGGTGTTCCACGAAACATGGATTCTTTGAATAAATTAGTAACTGAGGTGAGTTAGATCTAATTTAACTTATACTTCAACTTCATTCATATTCTGCAGTTGTATTCAGATAACCATTTTAAACAATTTATGTCTACAACTCTTTCGAAAATGTGTGAACTTGTATTGTATCTCGACAAAATCTGGACTCAAGTATACCGACTAGTACTATAGTTAGATTGAACTTAATCGATCTATTTAACATTCTAGCCTCCACCTTTATTGCCAAGAAAAACAAATTGCTCTGTAACGATGTCTCAACGACAAGCGGCTTGTTTATTAGCCTGCTCATTTTTCTGTTTATTCCAACCTCGTAATCATTCGAAAGGATATGAGAATTACCAACATGTCAACTTTGATGGGTGTGTATTTATCCATATTTTCCCATTGTTAAACATTTTGTATAATTTGCAGTTTGTTCGAAGCAGGACCTTCAACAAAGATCGAAAAGCTCAGATGTATTTTACATTATTTCCATCGTATTACAGAAAAGAGTATGGAATTCAATCCAAAATTATCTGACTTTATAGCTTTTCTTTCCGTTTAGTGCCAACAGGTGTCATCACATTTCAACGCTTTGTCTTGGAAAAGAAAGACTTTCCACAATGGCCGAGTATCAATGAACCATTATCTGATTTATACTTGACAACAGATAAAAGAATTGAAGACATTCCAAATACTTTACAAGTAGATTACTTACTTCCACTTTAATCTCCATTCGTCATCATTCTCGTAGGTCGATTTCGCCAACGAGTATATCGTAAGTCTTCACTTAACTAACAGCAACTCTGATCAAGGGATACTATCAATCTTCAGGGAGGCGGCGTCTTGGGTGGTGGTTGTGTTCAAGAAGAGATCCGCTTTGTCATTTGTCCTGAGATGCTAGTCAGTCTATTGCTTTGCGAGAGAATGGAGAAAAACGAATGTATTTATCTGATCGGATGTGAACGATTCTCGTCATACAAGGGCTACGCTAATACATTCCAATTCGACAGTGACTATCGAGATCAGACACCGAAGTAATAACTTTTTGTGATAGTTTTGATATATTCTACGTGTGTGATGTGTCTCTAGGGATCACTGGGGTCGCAAATGGTGTCATTTGGTGGCTATGGATGCCGTATATTTCAACGATCCTCCAATTCAATATCATCCGAAAGAGATTGAACGAGAATTACTCAAGGCATATACGAGTTTTCTCCCTCAAAGTGCCGACGAAGATTCTTATTTTGCCATTGCCACTGGAAACTGGGGTTGTGGTGCGTTCAATGGTGATCGACAATTAAAAGGTACAGATTCCGTCAAAGTACAATCATCATATCATCAACCTACATTTTAGCCATTATTCAATTGATGGCTGCTTCTGCAGCTCGACGTCCTATTATTTATGCAGCGTTTGGGGATAAGAAATTGGTTGCGTCTTTCGCTTATATTTATGAAGAATTAAAAACACATCAAGTTAAAGTGGCTGATTTGTTTTATATGCTACGTGAATATAACGGCCAGCGCAAGCGTCCCTCAGTATTTAAATACCTTTTGGAAAGAATGAAATCGATTGAAATAGAAACCACTAACTTTTAAAACCATTTTCTGCTGCTCGTATATATTCACATCTTCTGATCTCTTTCGATAAACTTTCGTATTGATTTTATGCTCTAAAAACAAGGTGAATCACTATGCAAAAAGCTTCCACGTGCATTTATTCGTTTTTGATGCTCTCAAGAAAAACAAGAACTATATGTGATTCAATTATTGCTCGCATATATACATGTGTTTTTTTTTCTTTCGCCTTTCTTTGCTGTCAACAGATATAGGCACTTCAAACGTGATAAATACCGTTTACTTTATCATTTCACTTTTAATAAGCGTTTAAAATCGTATAGTTTTAGAAAGAAAATTCTGTTAGATATTTTTGTACAATGGCCGGAGGAAATTTATACCCTAAACTCAATAATGAATTTGATGCGAACAATGATGAAACGGATGACAACGAAAGTAAACTATGATTGACTATTTTATAACGAATAAAATCACTTTTACTGATTAAATCCATAGATATAGATAAAGAAATCGTAGACCCTTCTTTTGGTGCAGAAGGTACTGACGAAGTCGTAACGCGAGTAAGATTTGCTGTTTTACCGATCCATTTTATTTCCATTTAAAACATCTAATTCAGGGTGTAGCTCTCAACACAATCGTTCAGGATAATTTACGGCCAGCAGCCATGAGAGATATGGAGCAAGTTCGAAGTCATAACTGTGCTTTTATGATTGAAGTAAAAAGTCTGTTATACTCAGTTTAGAAATTCTTTCATTTCGATATTAGCCATTTAAATTTGATCCAACATATCCTGAGGGTGCACCTGTTCCTCTTCGAAACAACTTTCAATGTGGTAAACGCGGAGAAACAGATCATGTTCACATGCCATTTTCACGATACAATCTTACTGTTAGTTATCATCGTGTTCACTGATTGTATAATATAAATATGAAATGAACTGGTTTGTAGAGAAAGAAAGAATTGGTATGGCATATCATTCAGAAAGCATTGACGAACTTAAAACAGATGTGCGATATTCATACGGCGACTATAGAGGAACTGAAAGTAATTAGACATGTATTTTCGATTTAATCTACTGAAGAATGTTTTCATCGTATAGGAAACTATTCGAAGTTGTACTCGACAAGAACATGATTTCAGCATATTGGAAAAATTAATCAACGATGTACGTTATTTCGATATATTTCTATGATTAGACTCTGTTAATTCATTTACAGATTTATTCGAATGAACAGCGCGAATATTTTATGTCGACGACCTTGCCGAATATGTGTAATCTTGCTTTAAATGTAGATACAATATGTCCTCAAGTAATAGCTTCTTTTGTGTTCGTTTTCACCTGTAAAGTGATTTGAATGTTAGCCACCTCCTTTGTTGCGTGTCGGATCGAATGCTTCCGTTACGTTATCGCAACATCAAGCGGCTGCTTTGTTAGCTTGCGGATTCTTTTGCCTATTTCCGAATCGATCCTATGGTGATGGAAAGTATAAATTTAAGAGATTTCCAAATCCAAATTTTGATCGGTAGATAAAATTGGACTGTTTTCTTTCTGTTTTTTGTTCATAATATTTTTATGTTACAGATTGTATAGACCTGGTCATCCGAAGAAAATAGAGAAATTAAGATGTATTCTCCACTATTTTCGACGAATTATCGAGAAAAGTTTGTAGAAAATCTTGCTTTCTAAATTATGTACTGTCAACTTGTGCTTTTATATCTACCTAACATCCAGAGCCCAATGGTGTGATTACTATTCAGCGGTCTGCCTTGCCGTTAGATAGAATTCCGCTTTGGGAACGACAGAAAACAAATTTATGTGATTTACATCTAGCAACAGGCTTAAGAATTGAAGATATGCAGGACACTTTACAAGTAATTTGAATGAATTCGAAGTATTGAAAAAAAGAAAAAATAGATTACTTTAGGTTGATTTCGCTAACGCATATATCGTAAGTTGTGATGTTTTCGACGCATATTTCTCGTAAGAAATGTTTTGGATGTTTAGGGTGGTGGTGTACTAAGAGGTGGTTGTGTCCAAGAAGAGATTCGCTTTGCTATTTGCCCCGAGATGCTTGTCAGCTTACTCCTTTGTGAGAAAATGGAGAAAAACGAATGTGTTTATCTGATCGGATGCGAACGATACTCATCATACAAAGGGTATTCGAACACATTCGAATTCGCTGGTGACTACCGAGACGCGACGCCGAAGTAATAGATTCCTGTGTGTGTCTTGAGATGTTCTATTTATGTGATGAATTTTTAGGGACAATTGGGGTCGAAGATCTTGTTACTTGGTTGCTATGGACGCAATATACTTCCGTGACAAAGGTAAACAGTATGATATGGGATGTGCTGAACGTGAACTACTCAAAGCTTATGTCAGCTTCCGACAAGAGGGATATGAGTTACTTCGTCACCGTGCTATTACAACTGGCAATTGGGGTTGTGGTGCATTCAATGGTGATCGAGAATTAAAAGGTGAGTAGAAACAGAAATACTTAAAGTTTATGGTTATATCATTTTCTACTTGAACTGTAGCGATTATTCAATGGATGGCAGCATCTGAAGCTCGATGTTCGCTTATCTATGCGGCCTATCGTGATAAAAGACTCATTGATTCATTGGGCGTAGTTTATGATTATTTGAGAGATCAACAGGCAAACGTAGGATATTTGTATAAATATCTTCGAGAATATTTTACGCAAACTAAATGCGGAACATTGTTTGAGTATATTTTAAATACACCCGTTTCATCTTTGAAGTGATTTTACTCTATTTTATGGATAACTATTCAAGAAATGAATCAAAACCAATCATATTTTTACAATATTTTCTTTTAATCATCAATAAAAACTAGATATTCATTTTGAGCAAACGCACGTGTTTCATATCTTCTGGCCTTGCTTCTTTGCCCAAACAGAATATGCTTGCTTTTTATGTAAATATTTGCTTTTCCCATGAAACATAACAAAGAATGAGTCGATTCTCTTTCTTCCGTTTGCCTTTTTCTTTTTTCGAAAAAGTCTTCTATTCGTAGAGAAGTAGTAGAACTTTTCGATCTTATGCTGCTTCATAAAGAGCCATTATTTCGTCACTGACATTTGCTTCATTCGTGTTATTTTCTCATTCGGTAGCAGACATTTTATTATGGCTGTTGATGCGGCTCGTGAACGACGCAGAGAACGAAGGACGAGACCTCGTAATGATGCTGCTAGTAGGTGACACTCATGTTTGATCGTAATTCTTGAAATATTCATACACTTTGAGTAGATACGGACGCGAGTTTTCATTTTTCCAATGCAGAAGTATTACAAGTATTTCCGTGTAGTGTTAGAATTCATTCTCGAACACATTTGTAATTCAGATGGCGTCATTCGATAACATTGTTAACATGTGTCCCAATCCTCCTGAGATGAAGAACATGGAGCAAATGACCAGTGCAAAATGTATATTCATGATTTTGGTAAGTATCGGTAAAAACGAGAAATGTCTGTTTTATACTCGAATAGCCATTCAAATATGACTCATCTCATCCTAATGATGAACCAAAGTCAAAGTTTAATGGACGTGGCTATCGGGATATATGGGATGCACAACATGTGCGCATGCCGTGTTCACCTAAAAATGCCACTGTAAGTTTAAATTGGTTCCTGTTTACTGTGATTTGGATGGGAAAATACTCGATAGGAAAACTATGGATTGATCTGGAATATTATCTGTGAACAATTACGTCATCTTCAACATCTTTGCGAGAAGGGTACCGCTAGTTTTGGAGATTTGAAAGTAAACAGTGTTAGTTTGAGCATTGGTATGAAAATAAATGGAATATTTTTATCAGACAGCGATTGAAAACTGTGCTGGACGTCAATACAAAATGAATTGTTTGGATATACTCATCAATCAAGTAAATATTTCTCTTGGAAAGAAATCTTTCACATAGAGAGTAAAAATAGGAATATCAACATGTTGAACGACAGGAATTTTTGTCATCGGTTCTACCCAATATCTGCAATCTAGCATTGAATGTAGATAAAGTTTTTGGCGAGGTAAGTTCTGCACTTTTGCACGTTATGCTTGCAGAAGACGACATGGTTTAGCCACCTCCTCTACTACGAATCGGAGCGGATAGTTCATTGACAATGTCACAAAGGCAAGCTGCATCGTTACTGGCTTGTTCATTCTTCTGTTTGTTTCCATACCGTTCAGATGATGTTAATGAACAAATCGAAGAATACAGATATTTTCAAAACCCAAATTTCAATAGGTAAAAATAATTAGTATGTATTACAAATTGTCACAACTGATCTTTGGAAGGTTGTATAACAAGGGAGGACAGCACAAGATCGAAAAACTCAAATGTATCCTAAATTATTTTCGACGTATAACAAATCAAAGTATTATTCATCTTATTGTACATTCACCTATTGTACTATCTAAATTTAGTGCCAAATGGTGTGATTAGTTTCCGACGATACATATTACCTAAGATGTCTCGTCCAAAGTGGTCTGAATCCCAAGCGAAGCTCTCTCCAATGCATTTAACACTAGACAAAAAGATCGAAGATATCGAAGGTGTTTTACATGTTGATTTTGCGAATGAATATATTGTACGTAGAGGAACTACAATTGAATTTTATCGTGTGTACGTCTACTAGGGTGGAGGTGTTTTAAGTAGTGGCTGTGTTCAAGAAGAAATTCTATTCAGCATTTGTCCTGAAATGCTCGTTTCTTTGCTTGTTTGTGAAAAAATGAATGATGATGAATGCATATTCTTGATCGGCTGCGAACGTTTTTCACAGTATAAAGGTTATGGCGATTCATTTCAATTTGCTGAAGACTACATTGATGATACGCCTAGGTGAAAGACTTTTGCCCCTGATTACGACAATGTTTTACATCTGCAATATGATTCTAGAGATAATTGGGGTCGAAAATGGAGTCACGTAGTTGCTATGGATGCATTGTATTTTGATAAACCGGAAGTACAATACGCAATGCAGTATATTGATCGTGAATTAATCAAAGCGTTCACAAGTTTTCGCACACGGAAAACAGGTAACGAACAAGATATTGAATTTGGTATTGCCACTGGAAACTGGGGCTGTGGTGTATTCAATGGTGACCGGCAACTAAAAGGTAGGGCATTATTCCATCTCGAGTAGGACTTTCGTTTGAAATGTATTCTTCTACCAGCAATTATTCAATTGATGGCAGCTTCACAAGCTCAACGGCCACTTATCTATGCTACATTTTATGATAAAAATCTATCGGAATCTTTCTCAGAAGTCTACAATCATTTAGTACACCAGCGAGCCACAGTCGCAGATTTATATCGATATCTTAAATGTTATTCGCAACAAAACAAGCAAGAGAATTTGTTTGAGTTTATTCTTCGTAAATCAATCGAAACTCTCTACTAACTTCGTTCTTTATTGAATAAAAAAAAAATCAACATTTCTAAAGCACATGAATTTGTCTGCACATAGCGTTATTCTTCGGAGTAAATGTATAGTCATGACCGAGAAAATGACGTGTACGATTTCCAAACCATCGGAACGCTTTCGTGCGTTTTATTGAATAAAAGTTCTCCACATTGTCGCTGAAATGTTCAATGCAGACCTTTATCGATCATGCTTATACAACAAATTTTACTCACTAAATTTCTGTGGGTTGAATACTCATTTGCATGCACACTTTAATCGGTGTATCTGCGTAGTCCACATCGGTTGTATAGTCTACCACAGCATTCGTACTGATAGTGACATTGATGCCGGTAACAACAAAATCATTCAAAACATCGACATGACTGCGAACACTCAATCCAGAACTGAAAGAAACGCACCGAAAGAATCATCTAGTTTTCTCAAAGTTTGTAATCATAATACGAACCTAACTCGAATAACTGAGTGTGAATTCTTATTCCAAAGACTAGCAGAAACCATACCAGACAAATCTAACGATGCAGCACTCTGTGCTTCGTAATGAACGACGAGTCCATTATGAAGATGAATATAACGTGATAAGTCATGTACCATGATATTACTCTAAATTGATGATACATATATCATTTCGAAACATTCTCTTGTTCTATTTTACCTTAAACGCAGATGTTAGCTCTGATGGTGCGCTCCACACGGCTGACATTAATCCAGTCATTCCATTAAACAGTACAACAGGTTTCAATTGCATATTTAACAATGTTACTCGTAATTCTGCTTGAAGATCTTCATCTGGTGTGTCACTTGCTTTACCATCATCACTCACATATGAATCAAGCCCGGATGCACTAACACCAAACTAAACCATTAAATAAAATCGTAAATTCTCTCTCGCCGAATTGTATTTTGTACTGCAACTTACGGACAATAGATTGAATATGTCTTTTTTTTCGTATTGTTGAACATGAAGATCGAAATCACTTTCACGTAACGCACCGAGTCGACTCATTAATTGTGAAATAGTGTAATAGACACCAAAGCCAAACGTTTGCATAAATGGTCGACGATAATAATCCGATTGACCTTTATAAGCAATTCGATCGTATGTCAAATCAATCAAGCCACCATCATAGATAAACTTGATTTTCCGACTAAAATCCAAGAGAAAAATAAAAAGATTCTCAATGCATCGATAAAATTTACAATAGCAAATCATCATTTTCAGCCATGGTTGTGATTAAACGCCACATATAAACACCTAATTGATGATTGGTTCTATCTAGTGCCGAGAGCTAGAATGAAACAAATGACTGGGATTCGATCTTCGTTGATTAAATCATTTTACCATCAAGTTAACCAAATCGCCAAGAGAGATATCCGTTCGAAGTAAAAGTTGTCCACAGAGTTGACGAATTTGTATGTTTGTTTTCGGTCGACCCTTATGTTCGTGATAAATTGCACGAAGAATAGTGACAATTTCGCTTGAAAATCGTTCAGGTTGATACTGTGTCAAGGCATTCAGTGCCAACCAACACAGATTCGTGTCATTACAACGACGAATCTCGTCAACGAGTATCGTTTCGTATATTTCCAGTTTAGCATTGTACAACGAAAGATAAACTAACGGTTTTTTCTTCGTATTATGAAGCAATGTTGTATATTTTTCGATCGACTAGATATTATGAAATATTTCATTGCAAAATCTCATTCTCAGTAAAGATACTTACAGCAGATTTTTTATTTGAATCGTACAATCGATGAACGATGGCACCCAATGCTAAGTAAGAGCTTTGTTCAAGTTGACTATTGATGGCAGCAAATTTTGGTAATCGTTCCTAAATAAAACTCTGTAGATATGTTTTAAAAACAAATGTCTTGTTATATACGAGAAGTTTTTCGAGCAATACATCGGACGGTCTTGGTGCAAAAGCACTCGCCATTAGAAACGATTCGATTAATTCGACTTTATTCTTCGAACTCATCGAATTATCCAAATATTTCACAACAGCATTCAATGATGCTGGTGTTTGTGCAGCTACAAATGCCTCGATAAGTGTAGATCTACGACAAATGATGAGATCATTTTCCTTATCCAATAAAAATTTACCGAATAGAATTCGCCGCTTTATCGAGTATTTTGCTTAGTGTTACTTCACTTTGTCGTCGCGTCAAAGCAATCAAGTGTAGAAATGTGTTGCTTGCGTGACGATCACCAACAACTGCTCGCATCAATTGTTTTTCATGATCGCGAATGAAGACATCAAACTGAAAAGAAAGAAGCTAGGAAAATCGAACTCCTAACAAAGAAATTCATCGATATCTCTTACTTTTTCACAGTATTCATCACATGGATGAATTTGTTTTTCCGTTTCCAATGGATGATATTGTTCCGATGTAATACCTAAAGAATATTGTTTTCTATGAAACATTTTCTCGAGAAATATATTTACTTAGAACAGATTTTAATGCGGCATCAATACTCGAAAATAATTGATGTTTATCATTAGTGACTTTTTCGCTAAGATCAACACTTAATCTAATACAAAAGAAGAAGATAAATACGAAATAAAGATGAATGATCACTTACCGAGACATGATACGAAATCCAGCGACTTCCGGAATGACTAATCTTGGAAAAGCCATATCCGAGCATGAACCAGATTTGAGTGTTGAATTATCAAATGTATACACACATGTTGATTGGAAGTCAATTGAATAGTTCAAAGCCTAAACAGCCAAATCAATAGAAATCTTCTCATCAATTGTCCTTTGATCATACGTGTTTCGCACTACTATATTCATCATTGTATTTCACATTTGAACATTCGGCTTTGTCTTTGACAAGACGATCTTCATAAATGCGATATTCTGTCTTACATTTTCCTAGTGTGTCGATTTCCGAAGCATTGTCTTGTTTGTATTGAAACAAAGAGATGATTCCTTTCTTTAAATTAATTGCTGCTAGATTATCGTTTTCGTTGAAATACGATGAAGATACAATTCCTTGGTCCCAAAGAAACATGGCGGGATAACGAGTAAGAGTGCTCAATGCTAAACAGTCAATCATACTATGAGAATTCGTTCGATTGAGAAATCGAGCATCTTTCAACTAAATAACAAAAGAAAATGAACAGAGTTCTATTCCAATTCGATGATTTACTTCGATTTTTAATAAATGTTGTTCGCCATTTGCACTTCGCCAAGTACTGCTGACATTCAACCGAGCATACAAATGAAATGCAGCATCAGAATTGCGTTTTATATGACTTTCTTGTGAACCAGCCCAAATCTTATGATCAATATGAATATCCGTCGCATAATGATAAATATAATCAACATTTGATTGGAATCCATAAGATCGACTAATGGTCTCATTCTTTTTCTCTATTGATCAAAAAACAAGATTCAGTATCTTTTCAACTAAATAAATTATTCTATATATACCTGTGCTGGATGAATAGCCTAGTGGAAATAACAAACAAAATAGGATGATCAATATCATCTTCGTGGTGAACTAGAAAGAGTGATCAGCAGAATGGCGAATGTTAGAAGAAAGAAATTATTCTTTTCTTTTCTTTTCTTTTCCTTTTCTCTTGTATATATGTAGAGATATCAATGAGTAGAACGCGCATGTATTTATGATGGTCCTAGTTGATATTCGATGGATGTAAGCGGTGGCGATAGTACATATCTCAGCCAATGTATGCAAGCCAGCGATCATAAGTTATAACGGGCAACAGAAAAAAAAAGAGAAGAGAAGAGAAAAACAGAACAGGATGAGTTATTTCTATAACGAAGAAATAAAAGAAGATTTGGGAAAGGAAAGGAAGAATGACCCGAACATATGAAAGAATAGAATTTATCATGATAAGTTCGCCATTCGAACGAATAGACTCGATGGTCAATCGACAACGAAAAGAAATGTTTTCACACGAACTGTACGACAGATTGTTTAGTTGAAATTCGTATCAAGAAGTTTGTGTTACTGTAGTTGTTAATTGGCATCTGAAAGGACTTTAATGGTGTTGTTGGATATAAATCTGCAATAGTTCTTTTCCTCGATATCATAGACAGCTGAGTGTTGAAATCTAGAGACTTATCATATTCTATCCATACAAAACAAACTCGTATAGAGTACTATTTTTTACATGAATTTCACTCTTTTGTTTCAACTAATCATTTAGATATTGATTTAACAATTTTTGCAGCGTATGTCTCGTAGTTGATACATCCTGAAAGCCAAATCTTAAAATGTACTACTGACAAATTGACTTCAGAGTCTTTTCTTCTTTTTCTTAAAGGTAATTTCATGAAGGACAATATATTTTACGATGGCAGAATACAGCTAGTATATATATATATATATAAAGAAGCAATCTGAATACTAAACTTTTGTCAGAAAAAAAGAGTTATTTTATGACATAATGGTATGATATAGTGGTGAGTCAAATCATAAACTAGTGAAGGTGATCGTCGTTGTCGTTTTTCTTTCATTATCTTATACTTGGAAAAAGAATTGTTACAGACAACCACACAACGAAAGTTACTTGTTACCATTATATACTTGAATAATGCAATTACCACGCAAATTAGTTCTCGCTGGAGTTATTCTTGGCATTATTCCAATTGCACTGGGTATTGTGGGACTCGTCACTAAACAATGGCATCAGTATAACAGCGTACAATACAATCTTTTCGATGTTAAAAATAATACTGATAGTGATACTATTGATTTTCAATTATGTTTTAAACCTGCCAAGCAAAGTGCAATTCAAGGTTTGGAAATAGGTGGTGTCGCTGCTATTGGTGTTGGTATTATAGCTACCGTTGTCCTGCACACGCTAGTTAAAAATCGCTGGCTTCGATTACTACCACAAATTCTACTAATACTTGGGCCAAGTGCTATACTCGTTGGTCTTATTCTGTTTCAAGAGTGTGTTAAACGGGAGGGTTTAGGATGGAGTTTCATATTAATGATTGCTGCTGGTATTAGTGGATATATTGTAGCTGTTTATTTAGCAGTGGTTACTGCTTGTGGCAATCATCAATATCATAATCGTACTAGTGCAACTATTATTGTTCGAGAATCAGTTCGATTTTAGTTTTTCTCGATTAGCTTCGTTTTTTTCTTCAAAAATTCGATTACTTTTATTATCTAATGTTATGCTTATAACAGAATATCTAACAAAATAGCAATAGACTACTATTAACATTTTTAATATCTGTTTTAAACATAAAATATTGTTCCGTATTTCGATTTTTGTTAAAAATCTGCGACAATTGAATAAAGAAAAAGCAATTCTATATTGATTTATGTATGGATAATATTTGATAAGTATCCAGATGAAGAAAGTTCTACTCTGAATCGTCCAAATTATGTTTGGCTCAGTGCAACGTGATAGTTTGATCATTTGCCAGTTAACTCTCGCAATAAGTCTACATAATTTATGAAAGATAAATAGGAAAGAGTGTTTCTACAGATCGGCATCTGCTCGTCTAATTTCTCTATTTTGAAAACTATATATGAACTCAATAATATTTTTATATCTTTATTCATTATGTCATAACTGACAGGAATAATAAATCGTTGATTTCTATGAATATTTTTTGTTTGAACTTTTCCTGTATGGTTCATTTGTGGATTTTGGTTTGTTAAAAATGCATTACTATCAAAAGTTTGCAGTTATAGGTCTTATTCTTGGTATAATTCCTCTTATTTTGGGTATTGCTGGTTTCACAACGTCATCATGGATCAGTGTCACATACGATGAATCATTATCAACACCGGTTACCTACGATCTTTTTCACCGATATCGGAACGGAACAAGCCAATGTGATACTGTTCAATCTTGTCGTATTTCTCAGTATTTACAGATCACCGGTTATGCTGTCTTAGCCATGGGTATTATTCTTAGTGTGCTATTCACCGGATTTGTTGATAAACGCTCGATTCATTTTCTTACACCGATCGTTATCATTCTCGGTGTATTTTCGATGATAATTGGTTTTATTTTTTACATCGAAAGTATCCTCGAGATGAATCCTGATAGTCCCGTCCTAAAAATGAATTTCGGATATAGTTTAATACTTATGCTATCAACGAGTGCTATTGGATGTTTGCTTGCCGTTTACTTCTCCTTCACTGCTGGTTATATTCAACGGCATATACTTTCCAATGTCAATATTTATTAAAAACAGTTCACACAGATGGAAAGTATTGGAACAAATGATGATTTATGTATGAAAAATTTGAGAAGAAAACATACTATAAGCAGTATCTGTCGCGTTATCTTTTTCGAAAAGATTATAAATCTTTGTTAGCAGATTGAAAACTTTGTTTTGTTTCATTTATTTATATCGCGAGTTACTATAATAAAACCTATCTGAAAATCTAAAGTATTCTATTTATTGCCGAGAGAAACGTATTTATAATGGTCGGTGAAATTTATCATCAGCATCAAATCACTTCTGACTGCTTGTAACATTATTCGACATTTAACGAACTCATTGAATATCAGTAGCAATGATCAATAATAAATTCATTTTGATTATTATTAGTGCTATTGTTGGTCTTATTCCAATTATTCTTGGTATTGTTGCTCTTGCAACACCAAAATGGATTGTAGTAAATTTAGTCGACCAAGAAGCGAGTAGTACATATGGACTTTTTCAACAATGTAGCAGCATGGAGATTGGAAACGGTAGCATTACAAGCTGTGCGGATATTAAATCTGCATTTCAGACAGTTCAAGGTTTACAAATAGCTGGTGTGGTTATCCTAACCGTGGGCGTTGTCATTGCTATTATCATCAAACAGTTTTTACCAAAGTATTTTTTGAAATTATCTACACCCTTATTACCATTGATCGGCTCTGTTCTTATTCTCGTTGGTTCTCTTCTGTTTGCTAAATATGTTATCGAACATTTTAGTCGCAACCTTATTTATGTCACAATTGGTTACAGTATGGTTTTAATGGTTATCGCCTGTATTTGTGGCTTTGTCATAACTGTTCTATTCGCCTTCGATGCAGGTTATAGTTATGGTAATAGTCGTAGCACGGTCAATTTTGGATAGTTTATTATATATATTCACAAAAACACTGTTTTCATAACAGAAATTCGTTTATCAAAAACTTTTACACATATCAGCAACATTCTTCCATAATACACCAGATGCAAAAACCTGCCACACAACCGTAAATCCTAAATTACAGGTGTGATTAGTTCAGACAAAAAAAAGGACAAATAAATGCTTACAGATGAAAGTATGAACCACCTCCGCCACGAATACCTGTAGGTGCTACTCGAATACCAGATTGTTGATATGACGAAGAGGAAACTATGCTCGTAGGTTGTGTTCGAGTCACTTTTCTATCTTCTCTTTCCATTGAAGTTCTCCTATGAAAAAAAGTAACAAATCTCTGTTCTGTTTTCTCAAGGACAAGAAGAGTATTAGTAAACCCTCATGCATATCATGACAAGCAAGGTTGGTTATATGAATAGAAACGGGCAAATTATACCTTTTGTTGCAATAATTAAGAAACAATATCAAAAAACGTTTTTTCTAGAAAAAAAATCATCACGACGAACAACTATAGATATTTTCCACAACAAATTGACTTTGATAGAAACAAATATTGCAGTAGACTGTTTCACACGACAAGAAAAGAAAAAGATTTCGTAAAAAAATATTCATAGATATAAGAATAATTGCGTTAGTCATGACTTGAAAAACAAATATTCGGTTCGATTCACTAAAACATTCTTCTCATTCGTTTCCATCAGCACTGGACGTCGTTGGAATACGTGTATCATAGCATGCGCCGACATATAATTTGGCCATGTCGGCAACAAGTGATTTATCAGGTACCTTTTGACTAGTACCGTAAATCACAGCCTAGAATAGAGAATCGGATGTGCCGACATTATTGAATAGAAGAAGTTTACATACAGTAGGTGTATCGTTTTTATTATCTGATCGGAGAATGTCTGCAACACATTCTCGTGTATCATCAAGTAGTTTTTCTACAAACCCTGGTTGAGTATGAACTTGAGTTACGGCAATATGTAAACTAGAACAAAATTTATGCGTTTCAAAACTATTTTTTGATGACTATTCTATTGACGAACCCAGGTGGATTTTGTAGACCATTCAAATGCCATCCTTTGGCGATTAGTGCATCAATCAAGTAATAAATATTGAATTTATCCGAGCCAACCGCAACAACACTTACATCCGGGTGATGTAAAAGATAAAGGCCATCAATTTTACTCCAGCTAAAAGAGACATAAATCAACAGACGTCTGGTCTGTAGCAAAAGAATCAATTCATCATACCCATCAGCAATGGCTCGTGTAACTTGAATAATCTTTCGAGTTTCTCGAACATAACCTTCATGACCATAATACATAAGTGTCGCCCAACAACATGCGATTAAAAAGCCTGAACGACTGCCAGCAATCGATGGAGAAGCATAGATACCACCTGGCCAATCAGAAAGAGCATAGAACTGATGTGCACGAATTTCCGGTGTTCGATATAGAATAACTGATGCTCCTTTTGGTGTAAAACCATACTGAAATATCATACATACATGAAATATTCGATTTTATCAGCGAGAAAAGCAAATTGTACTTTATGCGTATCACAACTGATACTGGTTACACCCGGTACGCGAAAATCGAATGGTTTTAATGGAAAACCAGCTTCATCCATAAATGCAATAAGGAAACCACCTAGACATCCGTCAACATGTAATGGGATATTATATTCCAAAGCAAGCTAAAAAGATTCATGTAAAGACGAGTTAACAAAGTTTGAACCGATTACTTTGGAAATTTCTTCGACTGGGTCGATAGCACCATGTGGAAAGTTTGGTGCCGATGCAACAAGCTATTATTTAGAAAATAAATTTGAACAATCTCTTTCAAATCAGATAGATTTACCATGCAAGTATTTCTAGAAATCGCTCGACGCATTTTCTTCACATCAACTTCGAGTGTTTTCGGATCGACAGGAATACGTGTCAATTTGATTTTGAAATAAGAGCAAGCCTAGAAGAATCGATTGTGATTATCAAAAGATATAGTTGGACATACTTTGTTGAACGCTGGATGAGCTGTTTCGGGCATGATACTAGAAGATAAAGATAAAATAGAACTCATCTGTTGAATGTTTATTTATACGATCAAATATCAGTTTCGTCTAATCTTACGATAAATGTGCATGAAGAATAGGACAAACTATACGATAATTTCTATTGCTTCAGTTTACATGTGGCAACCATTGATAATTCTGATATTGACTTCTGCCTTTCATTGAAAACAAAGAGAAAGGTGAAAAATCCAACGAAATGCAATCATATTGATTCTTCGGTAAGTATGCTCGATATTTTTTATCGTGAAATCAATTGAACTCGACATTATTGTATAGGGGAAAGGAGAAAAAGGTATAAGTGTACTTTTTTTTGATAAAAATAACCTTGACAACAAATGGAACCCATTTTGATTTGACAAAATCAATTCAATCGTGCAAAATCGTCATTTACATTTCTGACAATTTCTCATGAAATCAACGTCCCTTGTGAAAGTCATTCTTTCATATTGATCGAGTTAATCAAGAGTTCATCGTTTACGCTTTGACACGACGTTCTTAGGTCTCCTCGTCTTTACTTCGTTTGATTAAAGTTGAAATAATTGTTCTTTTTTCTCGTCAATTTTCTTCTACTTCTTCTTGCCTAGGCTTTGTGGCCGGCAGACACAAATAATAGACACAAACATTTAACGACACACACACAGACACATTTGATGTTGACAAAGCCCAATAGCCATTTATGTCCATACGCGTGTGCATGCACATAAGTCTGATTGATTGAAGCAACATCTATATACGTAACCTCTTTCGGTTTTTTCAAGGTATTCTTTTCTTTGCACTCTATTTTATATGCGCTCGTTTTAGCGAGATGTATATGTATAGAAAGAAATGAAAGGTTCAATAAAAAACAGAAAGAATAGATGTTAAATATTCTCTTATTGCTTCGTTTTCTTGAATAAGAGAGAAAGCAATAGAAGCCACTTCATTGCTGCCTGACTGCATGGCATTCTTGAGTGTCCGGTCGTTCTCACCAGGGAGTCGTCTTTCGTTAGTAGGAATAACAAGGAAAAAGACGACAGAATGAAGAGCGGTAAGTGGTGGGTGGAGAAATGGGTGCCTTTCTTTCTCTGTCTCTTTCTCTCTCTTCCTCTCTTTCAACTGCCTTTTTACTATAGAAACATGTTAGAAAAGAAAAACTAGCTTGATTATTTGTAAGAAAAACAATGTCTCTCAGCTTGCATACATCCTCTTTCTTTCTCTCTCTCTTTCTGTCTTCGCCTTTTAGTCGTTTTACATGGATGTATCATTGATTAGTATAAATGCATCGTTGCAATAACCTGTTTCTCTTCCATAAATGTTATGAATTACTGTAAGCAATCATGCAGAGATTTATATGTATGTATGTATGTGTCTACGCATAGTTAGAATAAAATACAGATAAGATGGCTATATTGTCGATAGATATCTTATTTAGCTACATCAAAACACAGGTGCTAGTCAGATGTGTAAAGAGTTGCTTTTGTCTGACAAGAATGACAGTACAAACGTCAGTTTCTATCCTCTGTGATCGAACATATTCGAGAGTTGCTACATCGTTATTGAGGAGCAAAAGGCATGCATTCAATATGAGGGAGTTCGAACGCTGCGTGAATGAAAGCATCTATTTGAATAGTACCATTTAAATTTATGTATATGCGTGTGTGTGTGCATCGAATGTATTCATCGATCGTCATTTTATAAAATATTATGAAAAGGGATTTAAAAGATAATGAACAAAATCGTTTAATACAATAGTAGTAACACATCTGTTCGAACAGGAGAGAATACAAGGTGTCAATCGATTGCTTAATACATAGATCCATTCCTAGTTGGTATTCACACGCACCATTGAAGTGTGATTATGACACACACTACTACTACTACGACGGCTACCCGTTTTTGTTCTTCTCTCTGTAGTATAGAAGAAAAATTCATCATCATCGGTTCTTTCTCTTTTATATGTGTAACGGAAGCACGCTCCAATTCGAAGTTTCTCTTTTCTCTTCTTTTTGTATTCTATGTCAAGACCAGATACGTATTGCACGAATGAAAATTCTGCCAGCGGAAATAAATGTATGTATGTTTAATTGCAGTCTTGTTAGCTGTTACTGACCGTGTGACTGTATCTTGTCAAGGCAAAAGATCTCTCTCACATTCACATAGTTATTCCCACATGATAGTAGTGTGAAACAGAAACATTGGCATCTTTCTCGTTTTAATTCCGCTTGAGTCAGCCATATTAGAATGATGAATAAGATAGAACAAGTTCCGGAGAGATTTCATGTGCCGAATGCGTGTTATGTTACATTTAATCGATCTCACAAACACGTAAGCAAGTCACTTTCATCTTCCTGTAACAAACATATTTCGCAATGCAAAATCACAGACTGATCAAGTCGACTAATATCACTCCTAATCAGATTTGAGAGTACCTTGTTCATTGAATTTTAGACGTTTTCTTTTGACAGTAATTCTCTTCGGCGTATTTACATATGTAACTTTTTATTTATTTTAATGTCAACTATGAAGAGGAATCTATAATGGAGTACACTTGAGATTTTTTTTCTCGCATCCCTTCAAGTACTCGTCGAGAAAGACACTCGGAAACTCTCATCTACACAATATATCTGTTGAAATATTGAATGACTATCTCTCATGTAATCGTTCACTTTCTTCTCTGCTCTCGTCATTACTTATTAATTACGTTCATATAGATATGAATCGCAGAACTTCGATGCATGCTATCGTCGTCGACTGATTTATGTCGATTAATCTTTTGATATATTTTGACAACATAACAATGGAAGTATGGTTTCCCTCGTTTCTCCTTGCTTGTCTTCATGTCTCTTCTTTGCCGTCTGCTTCTATCATAATTCAAAATTAGATGCTGCTTCCTTCTGTCGATGACAAGAGAGAAAGTGAAGTGACCACTCTCTTTTCCG